TACGCATAACAATCGCAGCTTCTGTCAAATCGCGATCTCGATTCCATTTCGATTTATCGTGCAGCCCTACATGATGTAGCCCAGCGGTTAATCCAGTCCTCGCGCCCGCTCGTTAGAAGTGAGCTATGTGCATGAACTGTGTTCTGATCGATATGATCCTTACACAGTGTTCATTAGGGCTGTCAAAATGACTGAAAAACTAAATTCGAATTTTCTACTTAAATATTATCAAAATTCGATTTATATTCGAATTTAAAAGGCATAATTTCTGTTAGGGGGGAAAAAGCTTTTGGCTTCTCTCCTGAGGCCACAAGAGGGCGCATCGAGCAAAATATTATTCACGTTTCTTCAAAGCGTAATAAAATAACACAACTATCTTTGAAAAAAAGTGCATAATGTTTAAAATAATGTTTATAAATCATTAGGGATGTAACGATTAAACGCGAGGTTGAAAATCGAATCAAATACGTGACGATTCAAATCGGTTGAGATGCTAAATAAATCGCGATTCAATTAGGGGTAGGAGTTTATATGAATGCATGTCTGAGGGGAACTTACTGTCTTTAGAAAAGTTTAGATGGTATTTTTTCTTTTAATCTTGCCTCTGTATAATGCATATAAAAGTTCATAAGTGCAGCGCTGCTTTGTTTACAGCGGAAACCAAGGAAATGCTTTAAGCGCCACCTGCTGGCAGAGAGTGAATCTGCGTCTCATTCAGCTCATCTGCTGTTTCTCTTTCATGCAGATATTTTTTATGCATAGTTTCACAAAACTGAAGACAAAATCATTTTGTTTTTGCTTCAAATTCAATAATAAAAGGACACATTTAATTTATAATTTGTCTTAAATTTCATTTTGTAAAAAATATCGTGAATCGAATCGAATCGTGAAATTAAAATCGTGAATCAAATCGAATCATGACTTGAGTGAATCGTTACATCCCTATAAACCATATATCATTAATAGGCTACTTTCTTCATTTAAAAACATGAGATGCAGTGGGATGGGGAAAAACCGCCATAACGTCTTTAGACATGTTTTTTAAAAGTTTAACTTGCATTAATTTTACATGGCTTTCTAAACATGCCACTCTCTTGTGTGAGACGAGAGTGCAACGCTGATAGATGACCCTCTAGAAAATGTGATAAATATGCGTTCTGTGTGAACGGCTTGGTTTCAGTTTTGACGTAAACAACATCTTCTCCACACTGATGCTCTCGTTTTCCGCAATATATTCAATGAACAACGTAGCAGCGCCGCATCTGGTGGGTTCAACTGGATAGGCTAACAAAAGCATTTAAATGCAATCAATGACACATACATCGTCATCGCATCTCGTGCGCCACTGATAAGGCTGCCTGACAGCTGACGCAGACCTAAAATTCGAATGCAACTGTTCTGGTTTTAAGGCCAATTCACACTGCACCAACAGACATGTTCATTGTGTCTGTTGGCGTTGATCGGCACTTGTTATTTTTGCCCACTGAACATGTTGAATCGCCATTTGTTGGGTCTTGGAGTGTCGGAGAAGTGACTGTACTCAGTCAGCTGTCGGTGTTGGTCTGCGTCTGTCGGTGCAGTGTGAACCGCCTCAATAACCACCTCAAAACAGGCACATCTGACCTGCCTCTTCCTCAGACACATCCAATGGCACTGAAGCGCCACACATGCTGTAGGTTAGCAGTTACCAATTTTCACTGAACTTACAAAATAACTGTATGATGATGTATGCTGTTACTGTGATAAAATAACTCGTACTGTGAGATGAGATTTAGTCACACAGGCCGTCCTAACCAACACACATCCAGAACTCATGTTCATGTGCTCCACAAGCCCTACATTTGCAATGCAAAGAAATAATGTCAACTAATGTGGACATTACGCAAACTTACCAGAACCAAACCAGCATCATTTTAAATTCAGGTTTTTATCTCTAATTACACCAACAGAAAAATAATAATTAGTTGAATAGCTCTAGACCCTCTATAAGCATTGAGCATGCAGGTGAGAGACTTACAGTTCCACTAACAACTCTAAAAGCACTGTGGAAAAAAAGAAAATAAACTATCTCAGCTAATGAAAACAATTGAAAATGAGCAACAGAATGCAGATATTAAATAAACTAAACACGTCCAGTTGTTTGAAAACAAATGAAATTCCAACAGACATTCCAGGATGAGCTCAATGAATAAAAATCCTCTCAGACCAACTAACGAACGAACATCTCAGCTTACAGGTGATGGCCATGTCATGACATGAAGGGTTAGAATTTTACACTCCTTGTATATCAGATTTCTAGATATCTGACTGATTGGCTCGTAAGGTATCAATAATGCAGGACCAAGGATAGTTTATTCCAGAAACCGGCTTGTTTCATTGCTTTTAAATTTTCATCTGACATTGCCAGGGTTAGCAGCAGCTGTGGAGATCCTATGTTAAACTGACTACTATATGATCTCTCACTGTAGCTCAGATTAGTGCTGTCAAAAGCACCGGTACTTTGGTACCAAGTCAATACTTATATTTTAAAAACGTAACAATAGCAGCCTTTTCCACAGTACCGTAGTACCAGAGTAACGACCCAAGGACAGGCGGCGCACGTATTTGTGTGAGTGTCTGTGAAGAGCATCATACGTTTCAATTTACAATGTGTTTGTAAAATGTTTGTAAAATGATTAAGCCAATCATGTGTTTGTTGATATGTATGGCCAATCAGACCAGTCAGAATCGCCAGAGCGTGTTCAGCTTGAGCTCTGCACTCTCACGAAAAGTTTTGCTATAACTAACAAAGTATAAACACAATGTAAAATGAAGATTCATTGTGCACTGTAGACAAATTTTTTATTATAACAGGAGTTTTCACTCAGTCAGTGAGCTTGTGCTGCGGCTGATATCAGCTTCACTGATTATAAGGGAGCGTCTGTGTATAACCCATTCATAATGTGAATAAAAGTTTTATTTTTCATGCTAAGTACACACTGCAAAGTTTCAGGAGTGACGACTGTATTAAAATGTGGTATTGAATCAGAAATTGTGATGTTTGACATATGTAGCAACGGACGGGACAAAACCAATCTGATGTGTAGAATGTGCAGAATAGATCTGTGCGTTAAAGTCCGCATGAAGCTGCTGCCGACTCTATTTCAGTATAGTGACGTATTTCCAACTGAAACGGAATAGAGTGGTGGAACTATGACGTCACTTTTGCTAGCATTTTAGCACTGCCGGTTGCATCGTCCCAGAGTCAATGGGTTTTCTGAATGGGAGTTTGGTTAAATCCCCTAAAATAAGGTCTGTGCTTAACAAGCTCAAAATACTTTCCCATGTTATTTTACGACACAAAACACACTAGTTACACCCTACTCGTGATTTTTTAAAAACTGTTACATTTCTTGAAAAAGACAGTTGCTAACAAGTTGCTAAACGGGACTACAGGCGTTGTCGGGGACATTAAACGTCATCACGCCGAACAGTTGATCAATTTATAGTATTTTCCAATTGTAGTATAATTAGTACAATTAATTGTAGGAATAACCAATTAATAGTTTCCCGCATTTTATATTGTTGTTTGCCCCAAAATGCAACCACAAGTCTTCAGATTGAAGATGCTCGTTTCCTACTGATGCGGAGACTCTGGACTCGTACCATAAACTCATATTGTGATTATTCCATGTAAACACCACATTTACGATAATCCAAAAGCCTATGGAAAAATCCTATTAGCATTTTGGCGAGGGAACCAGTGTGATGCTAACAGCCGATCGGCCTGCAAAGTGACGTCATAGTTCCCCCACTCTATACTGAATAGAGGGCGGGGTTTTATTTTTGCGCTCACTGGCAGCAAACTAACGGTTGGAGGGGTGTGGTTAAGCATATTCTGCCAAAGCCGTCATCAACAACATTACAATATTTTTTGCCATGGTACCAAAATTGGTACCGAAAACCGTGGGATTCAGTACTGGTGTTGGTACCAACCACTGACATGTAGGCAGTGACAACACTATGCTAAACTCTTTCATTTTACGTATTATTTGAAGGTTAAGTGCCACTAATGTTGTGTTTTTGTAATGGTAAAATGTAAATAAAGGAGTTAATATTAGTATTATTGTTTTCTTTGCTTTTTTACCTTGGTATCAACTTGGGTCTCGAGTATCGTGTAGGCTACATTTGGTGGTATCAGTACCGACTACTAGATTTTGGGTATCCTTACATCCCTAGCTCATATAAACAATGCTATCTCTTAGCAACATGCAGATTTGTGTACATTTAATCAGGGGACGTGACTGTCCAAGATGGACACCGTTTCAGTTAAAACAACAATGCACGGTTTCTTCTCAGTGCTAGCCAACATCAGCATCCTTCACCTGTATACCCAGTCTGAAGGTCTTACAGGCTTTATATACATCAGCTAAATAAATCCCCAATCTAACATCCAGCCTCACACTGAAATGTCCTTCAAAGACTGCAAAACTAAAAATAAATAAATAAAAACAAACATCTCCAAGGTAATGCGTTCAGATAGCTCCCATTAATAAAGGCAATGACGTGTGTGTTGACGGTTAAAACGATCATCAAGCAAATTCCAGCTCATGTAACAACCTTACAATATATGAGACAAGCATCAAAACAACACTGACGCACAGATAAACATCCAGCAACTTTACACGCAAAGATGAAGTCACGCTTCTACTCCAATGTGAGACTTATGTAATGATCCAGTGCTCATATCCCCATCATCGACGAAATCATCTATTACGGACATAAGGATGACATATAATCAAATGAAATAAGAATTTGTCCAAACAATCTCAAAACCAGCACATTACACCAGTGACCTTCCTTTACCAAAATCCATTATGTAATAATAACATCATCATACATGTGTTAATAAGTCATTACATCACTAAATAACTCATTTATCCACTCAAAAAATCAACATTAATTAATAAACGTTTAAAAACAGACATTATAGGAAATGAGCATGAGGTCGTTATATTTACCTGATGTCAATTCCTCCTCACGGAAAGCCTTCTTATTTAGATGCCTTTTCCTTCTTTCACGACGATTTGATATATTTCGTTATTAATAAATGAGTAAATAAATAAGTCAATGTTTTGGTGTAAAATCCTCCTCATGTCCTTCGTGTTAGCTCGCCGGCTAATGTCTTCAGATGTGATCAACAGAACAGATTTAATACGATTAAACTACACTGTTCACAGACCCTCTGTATTTCAAAACGTGTACTTTAAAAGCCTGATAATAATGTTAAGATTTCAATGACTATTTCCGCTAGTTTGATCTGCTAAACCTCTTTTACTCGTCTAGTGTGGATGCTAAAGCTGATGCTAATCACACAAACAGATCTCACGAACCTGTGTTAAAAATATCGTCAGATTTAAAAAACAATAAACATAAGAAGCTGAGAACACATTCTCTGGCTTATTTCGTTGTTAAATTTAAGTGCTAAATAATGGCCAGATATAAGCGGTTATGATCTCATCTCGTCCGTGCAGCTCTGATGGCTGATCCCGAGAAAATAAAGCATTTAATCTAGCGAATAAAACCATAAAAATATCGCTTCGCTCCTTTATCCTAGTCTTTAACTTTATCAAACCCTGCTGTATCTGTCACTAACTGAGCATTTATATGATATCCGAGGCACTCTCACCTAACCTGGCCTCTCTTTCTTCTATTATATTCTTTCTATTATAATAAAGCTCATTAAATAAAGATACAATCTCGTTTTATAAACACTAACTAATGAATATATCCGACTAGCTAGTGCGTTAATCCGCGTTTAAAGCCTTTTTCTAGCTAAAACACACTGACTGTGTGTATGCGCCTGAGAGAGATTGAAACAGTAGAACAAACTGACAGCAGCAGCAAGCAGCAGCATATAACACTGCCCTCTACTGACAGAGCCTCTGCACAACATACCGCTGTCCAGATTCACCAAGCAGCTTGGCATCTCATCGGCTATGATCAGTGTTGGGCAGTAAATAGTTACTAGTAACCAGTGTTGGGGAAAGTTACTTTTAAAAGTAATGCATTACAATATTGCGTTACTCCATAAAAAGTAACTAATTACGGTACTTAGTTACTTTTTATGGAAAGTAATGCATTACGTTACTTTTGCGTTACTTTTAAAATCTGGACAGAGCTTGCTTGTTTGTTTGTTAAAAGCCTTTTCACACCAAACGTGAAATGAATAAGCCTCAGGCTGAAGGAAATGTAAATTTACGTCCGTACAGTAGAATGCAGAAGAAGAAATTTCAACACACTTCAGCAATAAAAAAAGACACACAAATGTTTGTCTAGAGTAATTTGTGCTTATTAGTACGGTTGAACTGGATCATCGAAGGTCAGAAGCAAAGACATTGGTTAAAAAAATGGGATTAAATACAAAAAGGATATTTGTGT